CATGATGTGTATGTAGAGTGAAAATTGTGGCAGTGAGAGCAATTTGTTCAGAAAAGCTGCTCCTCCACACTCTAGCGATGATGTCACCACTCTAGCTCTGTCCCATAGACACCCATTATAAAACCTGAAAAGTGTGAAAAACATGAAAAGTAAACTGTGATTTCTTAAAAAACATACTAGATATCAAAATGCCCATTTGGTCCAATAAAGTCTGGAGTCTTGTGAGCTGTTTAAACTTTAACTCATTTTCCTACATGAGAGTATGGCGATTTGGTGTGGCCTCAAAGAGGAGTGATTTAAAGTCGATTTCTCGGCGATCTCCAATCATTTCGAATTAGATATTTTATAGTTTTTTCACGAATTTTGTAAAAACCACGAGGCAAATCTCTGAGGAAAGTCATAGCACACCATTCGTTTTTCACATGTATTGTTTTGCCTGTGTGTTGGCAACGCTGCGAGACGAGTTTCACGGCGAAATTTATACGGAAGATGAAAAATAAGAAAGAAAGGCGACAGATTGTATATAGTGGCCTTGCTCTTGCACAGCAATATCAACCTTCTGTCTATTGTATTCAAGAAGCTTGCGTTTGGGAAGTACTTAGTATATGACTGGATAAATGACACTTGGATCATACTGCAGGAGTTGTGTGAGAGCTTGTAAAGTGATGTTTTGGCATAGCGTTGCTGTTGTTAGACGTGGTCCCTGGTCAATCATTAAATCAATATGTTTAATTTTCCACAGAGGCGCACGAGTAAAACAAAGTTTTCCTCACAAATTCAAAGTAGCATGCCATGACTCATCGATTTACAAATGGTCATTTTGTGGGTGAAGTATTCCTTTAAAACTCCTCTTTTTTTAACATCTGTGTGCCAAAACCATGAATGATTTACCGATGCCTGATTACTGAAGCAAAAAACTGAGAGAAACTTGTTTTAAAGTGCCATGAAGACCATTTCAGTCAGCAGTGCACCTCGTGTACTGTGCACTCACTTACTGCAGTATACTTGTAATATGTATGCCTTTGACCTTTACATGCTGAATGTGATATATTATTTTTTTAATTTAGATGTCGGCTTGTACTGTTGGAATTGTTTGTTTCAGCTCCCCCTGTCTGTCCGGATGACGCTGAATGCTACCAGCAGTGTTTGAGGGTCTGTTTATAAACTACTTCCATGCCACACTTATGTACTGTAAATATGTAAGAACGAACACTTTGTCATGCCTTTTATGATCACACTGCAATGTATTCACCGATGCCATGACATGAGCCGTGTTTATTCCAGAATGTGTAATGATAATGATTTATAAGTAGTTCATAAACAAACCTTCAAATGGACTGAGAAGCTGCGAGGGAACACTGTGTATCTCATTTCCTGTCATATCTGTCCTGATTCTGGACTTTTTCGTCTTGTTCTGCGGTCTAGTGATTGTCCGTCTGTCATCGTCAACCAACTGCCATACTGGGAGATCTTGAAAATACTCGTCAGCATCGTGATTGAATGAATGTACTCATTATTTTTTTTTGTTGATAGTAATTATACTGTGCAGTAATAAGGAAAAGCACAAAAAACTTTTTCTGTTTTTGTTTTTGCATTTTGAAAAGGAGCTGTTCTGTATCGTGTGAATAGTGTAAATAATCACCCTGGAGGTCGTTGATGCTCTTCTGAGACAGGACTGTGTTTGAAGTGTGAGGTTTTTTTCTCTCTTCGGTGACAATGCTGTGAATAAGATGTATGTACAGTGTTTACGTGACTTTGGCTGACTGCTGAGCTCAGCTGTTTCCTGTTATTAGAGTAGAGTCGCAGGCCTGATCTCAGCCAGAACTGAGCCTTCTCATTTGACTGATGCCTGCTGAGGTTTTTTTTTTTCTCTTTTCTTTCCTTTTTTTTTTTTTTTTTTTTTTTGCAGTTGCTAAGATACTGCTGTTATAATAACCATCGATCTTTGGAGTACTGCTATTAAATGGCATTATATAATTGACTGCTAATGTTGTCGAGTGTGGTTCCGAATGCACCCACTGAAATAAATGCATATCATCAAACGCGTGCCCACACATATACACACATTTACAAACACAATTACGTTACTTCACAGCAGTCTCAAGTGATGCCATTATTGCAGTTTATTTTCTATAAAGGAGACACATTTGTCACCAGGTTGGCAGGTTCAGACTTCACATCAGCTTCAGAGCAGAGACGCAGCGGAAAAATCTCTCAAGGATTTACTCTCCTCGCCACAAGAGGGAGCTGGACACTGGCCTTCATTTCGCCTCTGTGAGGGAGTGAGACGCTTGAACTCCCATGGGTGCCTGGCTGTGCATTGACTGGACGTTGTCTGTCTGTGCTGCTGAGCTGGACGCAGACAGTAGTTTTGTTGAGAGGTCTGGGGCAGAGATGAGAATAGCCCTTGTTCTCTGCTTTGATAAGATGCTTTGAACATCACACAGAGTGCAGTAAGGTCAACAAAAGGTTGAGTGAGTTACATAACAGATATTTATATCCCACAACACACACACGCACACACACACTTATGCCCATGAACATCCCTAAAGCAGCTAGAGAGTTTATACAGCAACAACTATATACAGTGCTCAGCATAAATGAGTACACCCCGACAGATATGTCAGAAAGCCTTTAGTTTGCTTTCAGAGTCAACATTTTCTATGGGATACTATACTACAAAATACTCCCGCAAATGTGGGCCATTGATTGCAAACTAGATTTGTTAATTTGCACACACAAAAAAATTAATTTTCCTAACAAATTCATTCAAGACCATGTTGCAAAAGTGAGTACACCCCAATGAAAGTCTCAGGAGCTAAGCTAAAGTTTAGACTACAACAAGAATTCAACCACAGGTGCATCTAATTACTCATTAAACAGGTGTGCAGCAGGCAGTTGACTATAAAACAGCGTTACTTAAAGAAAACCCCTTCTCATTTCATGCTGTCAGCAATGGCACTACATGGAAGAGAAATGTCACAAGACCTGAGAAAGAAAATTATTTCTTTACACAAGCGAGAAGGCTACAAGAAGATCAGCAAAGCTTTACTTATCAGGCAGAATACAGTAGCAAAAGTTGGCCGTCCACGGAGGTTAACACCTAAATAGGAGCGTCTTCTGATGAGAAGGGTTGAAGAAAATCGCCATGCAAGTTCACTGCAGTTTGCTAAAGTAGGTTGAAAGCCAAACTGGGGTGGCTGTTTACCGTGGGTGTTGTCCACCACGAAGGAAGCCTCTCCTGAAGCCCATGCACAAAAAAAGCCCACCTAGAATTTGCCAGGGCCCATGCTGAAAAAGATAAAGACTACTGGGACTCTGTACTCTGGAGTGATGAGACCAAGATAAATGTTTTTGGAACTGATGGTCATACAAAATATGAGATGTAGTAGTTTTTGTTGTGGGGTGTATTAATTTCTGCCTCAACTAATTTGAGTAAAACTGAAGATTTTCTGATCTAAGTTGTATTATTAACCTTACTTTCATGTCATGAGTTAAACAAATGTTCTATAAAACTCAGTGTTACTTTTCAAATGGGGTGTAACCATAAATCAATTAACCCACTGGGAACTGATGAGTCACATGAAACTAGCTGGAAAGTTCATTTTTACATGTGCAACCATTGGACTCTAGTGTTGTCTGCATTGTGTTGATATAAGGGGGCCCAGACCGTGGATATCTGTGGAGGCGATCTCCGTTTATTCCAGACAGCAAGAGGTGAAAACAAAATCCTCCGTCAATTACAACCATATTAACTCCAGCCCCTCTCCCGTGGAGCACAACAGCAAAAGGGCAGCCATGTTACATTCAGTTCAGTACAATAAAACACAGAAAACATACCTGACAGCACAAGGGGAGAGATAAGGCAAGAGAAACCACTTTATAGGTGGGGTGCCCCCAAACGTGAAGGTAGAGGTACAGAAACTGAGTATCAGATGTTCCACATATTGACTATGGAGGCCTCAGTGTGTCAGGTAATAACAACTGAAACACATCTTGTGTAATTATAACATCCAAATGTACATTTTACTTTGTTACACATTTTACTGCTGTATAATTGACCCTGTTACACACAGCCTACAATTCATTATAATAAATCAGCAAGAAATGTCAAATACAAAAGTGAAGTCAGGTAATTTTGCGACATCAGGAAAAACAGGACAAGTTACAGACAAATATATGATTTAATAATTAAATTAACATCGTAAACATGCAGGCGACTAGTCAGCTAATGCCTCTAAATGACGACTATTGGTCAACTAGGAAAATTCTTAGTCGGGGGGCAGCCTTGCAGCAAACATTTGCATTTACACTACAAAAGATATGTGATCAAATGCATCTCAGACCACCTCTGCAAGTGGTTTGAGTGATCGGATCACAGTGCGTCTGTATGGTTGTTTATTTAGCGCTGTCCACTTGTGATCAGATCACCCAGGATGCATTTTAACACACAGTATAAATAGGCTCCCCCTACTGTACGCCGCCGTCCCTCAAACGCCACTCCTCCAGACTGTGATGCAGGTTTATGTCAAAAATGTGAGAATATTTATTCATTTTTAAACTCCCTCCAGAGGCACATTACACAGGCTAATTGGTACTCCTCGTGACCTGTAAACTGAACATGATGCGTAAGATCAGTGGAGTACCCCTTTAACAACATCATTTATTTTATATCACGCAGTCTGAAATAATTACACATAACTGCTTGAACTCCCACAGACTTATGAATAAAACCGTTTCAGTAGAAAAAAATAACTGATGGAGTCAAAGCAGCAGTTTGTGGAGGCGATCCATTCAGCCACAAGTAAAAACATGTGTGCAGGTAAGTACACAGACTGCCAGTTTGGGGGTACTTTGGAAAAGTAGTTGACAAGAAAGCTGATATGAATCGGCGTATAGCAGAAGATGAACACAACCATGTTTGTTGTTACTATGCCAATGGTGCTTCTCTTTTCCTCTGACTTGTTATTGTCCTTTAACAGAATATAGATGATGCGGCTGGAACAGAAGACGATGATCAACAGTGGAGTGAGGAAGCCTAGAAGTAACAGAATGACTAGAAATTCTGGTTTAAGTGGTAAATTTTTACATCTTTCATAACAGGTCCAGAGTTTTGGAGGGTAATTGTCCTATCGAAATACAGCACATACTGTCACAAGAAGTCCCCATAAGACCAAACACACAGCAAAGGCTATCTCTTTCCTCTTCCTCCATGACCTGGCCTGCAGTGGGAAACTTATAAGAAGGTAACGTTGGACACTGATGGCCGTTGTGGTCATGATGCTGGCGTACATGTTGATGAAATGTATGAAAATGAGGACAGTACACAGGACAGTCCTGGGCAGACAGAAGAAGGCATCCCAGACCCTAAATGGAAGGAAGAGGATGAGGGCAGAATCAGCTATGGCCAGGTTGAACATGTAGACGTGGGTGTCTGTCCAGAAGTGCCGTTTGGCGATGAAGACACGCAGAGCCGAAGCATTGACAAGGAAACCCAGGAGGAACACAACACTGTAACCCACACCCTGAAGGGGCTCCACCTTGCAATTAGAGTTGGTGATGTTGGTGGTGTTGGTGGTGTTGGTGGTGTTGGTGGTGTTGGTGGTGTCGTTGCACATACTTGTCTGTAAAAAGTGTCCAGATTGAAAAATGATTAGTATGTTAGTTTAAAGAGGGAATACATATTGAGATGCAACTCCAAAGAGACACATACTGTTAATGACTATTCAGTAAAGCTTACAGGATCTCACTGTATGTGAAGGACAGCTTCACATATTTTCAAATCAGTCTTACAACAATGCTCACATGCCCATATGTACATCTAAACACTTTTTGCTCGCTGTAATCGTTCTTCCTGTTCAAAGAAACCTCCAGCGATTTTACCATAGACTGAATAAAAACATTGGACACAGCTGTCGTTACATCCCCCATTGCCTCCAATTTGACATTTTGTCTGTCATAATCTTGGATTTTTGGAGCTGTAGAGGAGCGAGGGGTGGATCTGAGTCATAGGCCCTGACACACCAAGCCACAGCTTTCACAAGCCCCTTTTACACTGCCAGATTTTCCATGAATGTTGGGCCGTTTTGCCGGCAAGCTGCGAGTGTTTAGACACACAGAGCTGGATTAGCGAGTTGATCTGAGGTGCCCAATTTTCCGCCTGGTGGGTAGTCATATTGGCTGAACCCTTTAGTTTAAAAAGACAGAGGCAGCCTTCCACCACGGGAGGGGCTGTTGAAGACTTGTGGGAGGAGCTGCTGATGACACTGCACGTGCAACCCACTGGCGGTGGATAAACAGGAAACAGTAGCATGAGGGAAACGCAAACCTGACAGACACTACAGTAAAGATGAGCAACTGGGGAGACAAGGAATTGCGCACCCTCCTTGCCCTCACAAACAAAGAGGCCATTAACCGTCAGATGACGGGGACGGTGAAGGACGGGCCGATTTATGAGAGAATTGCCGAAGGACTGACCAGCCGCGGCTTCCCTCCCACGTCACTGTTTACGTCAAATGCTGAGCTACACGTTTTGTTACTTGCTCATGAAGGTCCATGTCTGGTGCGGCTTAGCGTGGGACGGCGTGTCTACACTGACAATGGAAACAAAAATCGGCGCAGCCAAGAGTGCCAATAGAAAAAGGGTACACAGGGACATGAATTGGGCACCAGAGGGTCACCAGTCTCTGTACAAACCAAGTATGGCACGTAGCTGGTAGCTGGAGAGCTGTTAGTTCGCCTCCTGTGCACTGACGAGATGCCCTCGAGCAAGGCACTGAGCCCCCTCACTCTGACATCTCTGCACTTAAGGCATGTTTAGGTCCTGTTTTTGCATGTGTGTGTATTTCCGGGCTGTGTGTATATGACAACAGAGTGAAAAAAATTGAATTTCAGTTGTTCATTCAGTCATCAGTCATTTCCAGTTTTCCTCTTTGAATGACAAATACAGACTATGTTAGCCTGCTGCTATGAAAAGTTATTTTCTCCTACACAGGTGCAGGACCTATGTGCTAGGTGGTCGTTGGCTGTAATCTTTGTGGTGTGTTCAAGTGCAACTGTTTAGCTGAGACACACGCAATGTGAAGCAACACAACACTTAGCCTTCGTCGCTATTAGTTCTTTGATGTAGGTTTGGTGTGTCTGAATCTACAGAATGTGGTGACACTACGCAGACAGTAAGCCTTTATGAGATAACTCCATGCCCAAACTTTTTTTTTTCATTTACAAACATCTCCACGACCAACGGATGCTGGCTCAAGCGACGTTACTCGTGGCAAAATCACTATGAAAAATGAGAGGATATTAATTTTGAAAAAGTTTAGAATAAGTTTTTGCACAAAAGCTGTTCTGTGGACTCCCCGTCGCTTACGCTGGAATCTCAGTGAAGCATCTCTTCATGACCAGTGAGGATGAGAGCAATGATTACAGCAACTGTTTCAACATACATATGAGCGTATGAGATTTAAAAACCGTGAAGCAATCCTTTAATTTTATATGACATAGTTTCTCTAGATGGCATTGCTCTGGCCTCTAGCACTACCGTAAGAAACCTCGGAGTAACATTTGATCAAGATTTGTCTTTTAATTCTCATTTAAAACAAACCTCACGGACTGCATTTTTTCATCTGTGTAATATTGCGAAAATTAGGCCTATCCTGACCCGAAAAGATGCAGAAAAATTGGTCCACGCTTTTGTTACCTCAAGGCTGGATTATTATTACTCCCTATTATCAGGTAGCTCTAGTAAGTCTTTAAAAACTCTCCAGCTAATTCAGAATGCAGCAGCACGTGTACTAACAGAAACTAAGAAACAAGATCATATTTCTCCTGTTTTAGCTTCTCTGCACTGGCTCCCTGTAAAATCCAGAATTGAATTTAAAATCCTACTGTTAACTTATAAAGCTCTAAATGGTCAAGCTCCGTCATATCTTAGAGAGCTCATAGTGCCATATTATCCCACCAGAACACTGCGCTCTGAGAACGCAGGGTTACTCGTGGTCCCTAAAGTCTCCAAAAGTAGATCAGGAGCCAGAGCCTTTAGCTATCAGGCTCCTCTCCTGTGGAATCATCTTCCCGTTACGGTCCGGGAGGCAGACACCGTCTCCACATTTAAGACTAGACTTAAGACTTTCCTCTTTGATAAAGCTTATAGTTAGGGCTGGCTCAGGCTTGCCCTGTACCAGCCCCTAGTTAGGCTGACTTAGGCCTAGTCTGCCGGAGGACCTCTAATACACTGGGCACCTTCTCCCCCTCTCATGTCCTGTTACTGCATCTTGCTAACTCGGCCATTCTGGATGTCACTAACTCGGCTTCTTCTCCGGAGCCTTTGTGCTCCACTGTCTCTCAGGTTAACTCATATCGCAGCGGTGCCTGGATAGTGTGACGTGTGTAGTTGTGCTGCTGCTGTGGTCCTGCCAGATGCCTCCTGCTGCTGCTGTTATCATTAGTCATTAGTCATACTTCTACTGTTATTATGCACATATGACTATTGTCACACATGTATACTGCCAGATATTAATATACTTTCAACATATTGTACCACAGTAGCCAGAACTATAACTATAATATTATTACTTTCAATAATGTTGTTGTAAGCTACTGTCATAACCTGCATCTCTCTCTCTCTCTCTCTCTCTCTCTCTCTCTCTCTCTCTCTTTCTGTCTCATTGTGTCATATGGATTACTGTTAATTTATTATGCTGATCTGTTCTGTACGACATCTATTGCACGTCTGTCCGTCCTGGAAGAGGGATCCCTCCTCAGTTGCTCTTCCTGAGGTTTCTACCGTTTTTTTTCCCCGTTAAAGGGTTTTAGGGGAGTTTTTCCTTATCCGCTGTGAGGGTCTTAAGGACAGAGGGATGTCGTATGCTGTAAAGCCCTGTGAGGCAAATTGTGATTTGTGATATTGGGCTTTATAAATAAAATTGATTGAACTGAATTGAACACTGTATGAGAATGTTATCCTAGCAGAAATCACTGTGGCGATTATCATTCAGCAACTGACAATAATTTCCTCTCACATAAAAGATGAACTCCTGACTCTGCCCTTTTTAAGTCATCACTTCCAAAGTATTTAAAAACAAACCATAATAAGAGTTATTTCTCGATAACCTCATCATCTATACGTCACATCCACACACAGACACAGACACACACCCACACACAGGATAATGCTGTTTCCTGAGTGGTTCTTTGACGTAGGTTGAGATTCTATATCGCAGTGCAGTGCAATGCAAATAAACTTTTTAAGGCCCTCTGTGGTTCTTTAGAGGTTCTCCTCCTTCCCCAGTTAACAACACCCAGCTGAAGAACCAATGCAGAACTTTTTAAGCCCTCATATCTGTCTTGAGAGTTTCGGTACTGGTTCCTCAGCTTAGTTTAGTTTAATGTACTGGGGAAAAAGTACAAACACAGCATTAAAACAGCCTACAAACATTGAACTTTCTAAGGGTAACACATTAAAGGGATAGTTTGGGTGATGTATGAAGTGCTTATCTATAATCAGTGTATTACAAAAAGTAGATGGCGGTTGGTGCAACCTGGGTTTGGAGGCTAAGTGGAAGGAAGCAGCAGCAAGATGTGTATCAGCCACCTAAAAAAGGCCATTAAACATGTGAAACAGGGAGTGCCTCAAAGAAGTTGCCTTGGGCCTCTTCTGTACTCTATTTTTACAAATGACTTTCCTCTTGTATTAGAAAAAGCTCATATGTCAATGTATGCTGATGATTCAACCATTTATTTAGGAGAAACAACAATTGATGATTTAAATATAAATTTAAATCAGGAAATGAAATTGGTGTTGGATTGGATCAATAGTAATAAACTTGTCTTAAATGTGTCTAAAACGACTAGTATGGTGATTGGAACAAACCACTCTTTGCGCTCAAGTCCAAATCTTGATCTTAATATAAACAATGTATTAATTAAACCGGCAAATGAAAGTAAATTGCTGGTAGTCATAATTGATAATAAATTATCATGGGACAAACAAATACAGAGAGTAGTGATGAAAATGGGTAACATTCTGTCTGTGATCAGACGATGCACAAAATATTTAACACAACAAACTATCAAACAAATAATTCAAGCTTTATTTCTTTCCCATTTAGATTATTGTTCTGTGGTTTGGTCCAATACATCATCGGGTAATATCAGAAAACTGCAACTGGTTCAGAACAAAGCAGCACGTGTGGCTCTTTCTTGTGGGTTTTGGACAAATGTTACAAAGATGCATGAATGTCTATCTTGGCTTGATGTAAAGAATAGACTACTGTACTTGTTGATGGTTTTCATGAGAAATATTATCACAACAAAGACGCCATTTATGTTTTACAAGAAGTTATCTTTTAGTTCAGAGACACATAATTATTCTACGAGACATGCTGCTAGTGGCTGCTTTACTTTGTATAAATCCAGTTCGTCTGTGCAGCGTACGGTAATGTATAGGGCAATGAAAGAGTGGAATTCACTCCCCAACTACATTGCAAAATTGAAAAATGTTGATAATTTCAAAATCAAGCTTAGAGAATACTATTTATCAAGGAACTTTAGTAATTAACTTAATATTTTCTGAAGCGCTTTTCACAAGACAAGATTAATTGTTTTAATTATTATTGTGTGGCAAGGGCATTCCTGTAATGTGACAACATTGGAGACGATGATTCAGTATGGAGCATGTATTGTACGTTTTTTGTTGTTGTTGTGTATTTGTTTATGTGTATTTGTCTTGTTATTGTTTTAGTGATTTACTGTATGTATGTTTTGTATTGTCATGGGAAGAATCATGAAGACCCCAGGAAGAATAGCATATTTTCAATGGCCTTTGGTTGTTTGTAGTGGTTTTAATATTTAGGTATTTTATAATCTTTTGACATAGGCAATTGTTCTTACCAGTGTTATTCTGTATTATATTTCTGTTCATGTTATATTGCTGTATATGTGTGTGTCATTCTTGTAGTTTGAACAGCACTGTGGTCGACTGCAGTTGTCTTTGAATGTGCTATGTAAATGAGCTTGATTTGATTTAAAACTTTGCTTAGCTTCCTTTGGTGGCACTCCAAACTGAAGGCACGTCAACTGACACCTGCTGTAGGTAATACACAGACTATCGATAAGTACGTCATACAGCCCCACTTCAAAAACTCAGAACTACCCCTGTAAAGCAGTGGCGCTCAACTTTTTTGCCAGCCATGGGCATGGGAATATTCTAGGTTTGAAAAGGTAACATATAGTGTGTCACAGTAAGCATTTAGTACAGGATTCTGAATCTTTAAAGCCAACATTTCATAAGTAATGTTTAATAATCATTCATATTTTTAAGTAAAAGTGTCAAAGGCACTCTATAGCACCCAAGAAATGGGCACCATATAGCATCAAAACAGGTTCCCCTATAATTACAAGCCAAAAAGACACCTCTGGGTACTGTTTAGCACCAACAGTGGAAGACAGAAAAACAATCATCAGCTTTGAGTTGCTTCACAATGATCCAATAAAAAACAAAACTTACCAAATGAGCTTGTTCACATGAGCGTAGACCGTGCTTAACTGATTGTTAAGGTAGCTGCACCAGCATATCTATGTCATGACACTGTGAGAGTACGTGTGAAACTCCTCCACCTCAGCCTCATTTCCTCTCTTTTCAGTACACGTCGGTCAATGTGGCTAAAAGAGCAGCAAGATTAGCACAAGCTACTGATACAGCAGACCACAGAGACAGTTCCCTTGGTAGTTTCACAGTGACGTTACTCGGCTCTGCAGTGATGCATTTGGAAATAGATATACAGTACATGCATATGTGGGTGAGGTGACCCTCTTTGTTACAGTCATGAAATGGTGGCTGTAATGAATTTAAGTGGAACATGAGGCATGTTTCTATCATTACATTTCTTCAACACACTCCGCATCATATTGTACAACGTTTGTGTTTTGAATGTGAAACCCAAGTGTTCATTGTCAGCAGCAGTGTTGAAGATGGGAAACAAAGCCACTCTGTGATGGAGGTGACACTGGGAGGTCAAGAGCTGCGCCGACAACACCACTCTGGAAAAGGAAATTACAAAATAAATCTTGTCCTCGCGCAATGAGCGTGTTTGAGAGCACAACCTCTACGCTCTTCAACGGCTACATTGTTAAGAGAAATGGGTCAATGTTTGTGTTCTGGTGGCTGAAAAGAGGAGTCAACACACTTGAGCAAAAAAAACATCACGACCCCAGAAATGACATGTGACAACAAACCTTGAAGGTGATTCGGGGCTTTTGTTTGGAAAATGTGTGTCAGCCCTGATTGGGAAAAAAAATCATTGTCTCCTACATTATTTTCCATTGTCATATCAACTGTCAAGCAAAAATAACTTTAATTCTGCTAAGCCTGTAAACAAGTGAGTCACAATCAAACAGCCAGAGGCTTTAAATGTCTGCTCAAGAAAGAACCTTTGTTAATATGTGTCTGTATTCAATTAAACACAGATAATGGAAACAGACTGAGAAATCATCGTGACATCTGCAGGCCTGTCTCTACCTTCATGCAGTGCTGGCAAACTCGCCCCACATTCGTGAGTTATTTTGTCAACATGTCTTCATCAAAGTGTCTCTTTCCAATCAGACAGATGGGTGGGAAGCTTGGACGAAGGCCGGTCCAGCTGCCGCAAACACACAAGCCAGACGCTGCACAATGACGGCCACCTTAATAGGCATTCAATTAGCAATGGAGCCGCACAGTGTTTATGTGTCTGCACGTATTTCTCCTGTTGTTATGTTTTGCTTTGTTTTTGCTTACAGTAACCATGTCTCACAGCAGATATGCGCTTGTTTGTCTTCTGGGGTCTGATTCACTTGTTTGCGGTAGAGGGTGTGTATTCATCCAAGTGACTAAGCTGTCAAGTGTTTCGTGATGACACAAATCCCGGGCCTTGATTGAACACGATGCCAGCGTCAGAATGAGTCCATTGTAATATTTACTTTGTGTCACAACAAAAAGGAGTTGGATAATTTGTAGTGAAATTGCTTGTCCTCAATCATGTTGAACCCTGACCAGGTTTTAACAAGATTACACAGATGAATCATTGTCTACATCATAATCTTTCATACAGCGCGGGTCCAACACTGTGCTCATGTTTGAGCACTCAAGTACAAATAGTGAGGGGCAAAGGAGGCCTTCAGCTCGGGCACATGGGGTCATGGTTGCGAAAAAAACATTGAAAGTAGGCCTACTGATTGTGGCCCCTGGCAACATTATGTACAAAAGTTATCTCTGTATTGTGACCTTAGAGGTTCAGTAAAGAACAGCTTTGTTTGAGAGGTATAAATGGATTTATAAATAGTATTTAAGAGTATTATTAGAGGTTTAGAGTTTATCCTTTCTTTGCATGGTTCTTAAATAATCAAGGTTAAAACAGGAATAAAAGTGTCACGACAAGTGCTGTCTGGATGGCCCAAAACCAGATCAGGGTTTTGTCAATCGTTATCACATCTTTAACTACCCCAGTCCAATGTTTTTATGTACTCAGGAGGTGGAGTGAGGGGTGCAGAGATACAGTGGTGCCCCCAAGGGGTGAACAGGGGGGCTCATGGGCACCCTGATTCAGTTCTCGGCCACTAACGGAGCGATGCCTGCGAGCTAGTTCAGGCAGTCACCTCGAGCTGCGCTGATTTATACACACACGTCATACATCACTCATATGTCATATACAAAATAAACCCTCCCCATTTTGGTGGTCTATTTAACCCTTTGTGGTCACAGGTATAATTGGACGTTTTTGACTACTTTTAAATCTCACCTTAAAAACTGTTTACCTTGCCTTGTTCGGTGTCATTTTTTTTTCAGCAGAACCTCCCCTGTTTGACTTTACAGTTATTTTTTCATTGTGACATACTGTATTAACACATTGGACGTAAAAATCACACAAAAGCACCACCAATAGGAAAGGGGGTGTCATGTTTCTTTTGCTCGCAAGCCTGTTTTTACTTTTTCTTCCTGCACCAAACATGATGACAATATTCAGGTTTTACTTGGCCTATCAACCCGATTCAAAATTTGGTATATAGTTTGAAGTTCACACTTTCGACACAAGTTGAAACGGAGACTCAACGAGGCTGTGTCTTGCTGCTACGTCATCTTAAATCGGTCATGTGATTTGGACGCACCGGCGCGTCCTTGGACTCCAGAGGGCTGTAAAATCTTCCCAGCTCTCCCTTTGCATTGTCTTTGCCGCGGCTGCCCTGCATCAGTACCACTGCTTGCTCTTTTATCCCCACCTCCACCCCAGCATCCACCTGCATGCTCCGGCTAAAGTGAGGAAATATTTAAACATCACTCCCCAATATCTCATGCAAACATATCTGCGGGGAGCGATGAGGCCGGAGTCTAGACACTAAACTCTAACTATGTTCTGCTGTTGAAATAAACATTTAAATGTGAGCTGTCTGACTGATATAGTGTCTTTAAAAAGCTGTGGCATGCTCACTTTTTAAGTTAGCCCATAGTGGTATCATGTGAAACCTGGCGAGCACATTTTGCAGGTTGCAAACGCGAGGCCTGCCTCGATTAGATGGAGCGCTCTTTGCAGCTTGCTGTGTCTTTTTTTTTGGTCATTGTTATTAGGTAACCTCCGAAATACCCGTCCTTAGCATAACCACAGTGTTGCTGTGAAGTAATATAACAGACCTTAAAATCTGCATTAAAAACTGGACAGGTGTAGGGCACTTGGGGACTTGAGATCCTAAGAAAGAAGAGAAATCACAGGGAGTCTCACCAGCTGGACCAAGAACATTATTCATTTTATTTTAGGATGAGCTCGGGACAGTTTGACACTCTGCTGTCAGTCACTCAGTGTTTGATTCAGGTTGGAAATATGTTAGAAAGTATTTGAGGCTACAGTTTGTCCAGATTTGCCTGGCAGTAGCAGGGGGACACTCGGACCCAGCGAAAATTTGACCAGGCAAAGTGAGAGCACCTGAGCTGTTAAGAGGCTCACGGAGCACAGGCGTGTGAGCCCCACTCTGGATTCTGGGTCCTGACAGTCCAAGGGAAGTGGCAGATAAAGGCAAAGTGCTGATTGACATTTATTTTAGATCCTGTTCTATGTTAGTCATTGTAAATTGTTTTATCTGTATTTTAGTAAATTGATTTTATTAACGTATGGTTTCATGTTTTTAGTGCTGCAGTTGGCGTTGGCCTCCGGTCACAGAAGCGGCTGGTGCATGGTGATATAATTTAAGGTTTTAGAGTGTCACTGGTGTTAGTTTGGGTGTTTTCTCTGTTGGAAACGGGTTTATTTTGGTGTGTAGTTTTGGTTATCCACATAGTATACTTCCACTGCATTGGCCCAGTGTGCCACATCCCCTGCAGTAAGACACTCTAACTTTTAATTGCTTTTTTGATATCGCTGTGAGGGACCCTGATTTAATAAAAGCCTGTTCTGGCATTTTGACCCACACTGACTGTTGGCATCGTTATTGAAGTTCACCTGTGGTTATATAAAAGTGAACTTAGGTGACCAATGAAAGAGAGCTAACGTTAGCTTAACACTGTATGCTACCACTTGTTGTTATCACCACCACATAGGGCTCGCCTCTCAATTCATCTGAACAATGGCAAAAAACACCAATGACGTCGGGCGCTTTTCCGCTCTACTTGAGATGTTCAGGGTGCTTGTGCAAGAACGCAAGGCGCATACGTCAGAAAAATGCAAGGCACTCAGCAATGCAAGGCTGCGAATAAAAGGCTTCGCTGTCTTCGAAAACAATAACTAAAAGCTGCCACAGGCTGCTGAAATGTGTTCTGTCTGATCGGGGCATCCACTGGTACCAACCATTTCATGCTGGCTTGTTGGGAAGGGGACATTGAGAAAAACTGGCATGCCCATTTTCAAAGGGGTCCCTCGACCTCTCACCTCAAGATATCTGAATGTAAATGGGTTCTCTGGGTATCCACGAGTCTCCCCTTTGCTGACAAGCCAACTTTGTGCTAGTCCCATGCAGTTTTTGGCTAAACCTGCACCGTTTTTGCATGCATGCCTATTGTATTTGAATATTTCTGCATACTGAGGTCCTTAAACTGTCTTGGCATTGCATAAATTCTGTATAACTGGAAAGCTGAGAATCTTTTGGATTCATTAAGCCCAATTGTGTTTGTGTATTTATGATGTTAGCTCCTATAGCAGCCATCTCATTGTAGTGAGACCATTTTTGGAAATTAACCTCACCCACAGCCTCATTAAACTTTACAACCACAAACTAGAGACCTGGAGCATTCAGAGGGTGTATGACTGTCGCCCTCTTTTCTTAATTGTTGGTGTTACCCTGTTCTTCCAGGCTGTGGCAACTGGACTTGCTTGAGTTCCTTGAAGACGTTTCACCTCTAGCCCAAGAGGCTTCTTCAGTTTTGAACTGAAGAGAGACGCAGTCCAGTTGAGTCCAGTTGCCTATGATATAGCACTTATGATTACCATGACCTGGATGACTGAGAATCTCCACCGACACCCCTAAAAAAAAACAACAGAAATGAGTCTTTGTTAGGTGTCTGAGGGTTA